TTTGGAACAGACTAGAACATAGCAGCCTGGCCAGACAGAGGGGAGGGAGCAGTCAACTGGGAAGAGCCCCAACATGTTCTTGTAAAATGTCATTTGAAGTAAGAGGACAATAAAAAGTTAAGGACAAGTAAATTAACTTAAAAAATATTTAAAAACCAAGGTAAACTGTGTGACTACAATATGAGATTCAAAGAAAGACATAGTTTGAGTCTTTAGCTATCATCCTTCAATGTACATGCTCACCAAATTCTCCACTCCTCTGAGTACATGAAATGCCCCTTAATCATATGACATTCATCTTTGACTCTTCATAGTCTTGTTAAAGCTCAATAATCATTTTTTTTCTCTTCCCTCAATTGAGACAGATTTCCTTAGCCTATGAGTCTATGGTAGTTGATAGATGCTCTTAGTGTATGTTAAGATCTTTATTTAGCAAATAATTACTGTGATAAGATAAAAGTTAAGATAATGGTAAAGATTTCTTTTTATTTTTTATTCTTAACCATTTTTATTTTTTTTATTTTTTTTTAATTTATTTACTTTTTAAATACATTTATCTCTGCCTCCCCCCCCACCTCTTTCCCTTGCCCCTTCCCACCTTCCCTCCCTCAGCTCTTCCCCTTTGGTTTTGTCCATGAGTCCTTGCTATATGTTCCTTGACTTTCCCCTTCCCTTCCCTTTCCCTGCCCCCCCTTCCCTCTTGTCTCTGTTGATTTCTTTTCCTTTCAGTGTTGCTGGTCATATTTTCCTTGCATCTTTGCATTGTTGGTTAGGTTCCACTTATAGGTGAGATCATATGGTATTTGTCTTTCGCCCCCTGGCTTATTTCGCTTAGCATGATGCTCTCCAGTTCCATCCATGCTGTTGCAAAGTTTAGTACTTCTTTTTTTCTTTCTGCTGCGTAGTATTCCATTGTGTATAAAGATTTCATTAGAAAGGGCAAAGTGGTTATCTTCTAACATTTACTTGGAATGTATGCTGTTCTTTCCTTTCACAGAGAACATAAGAAGTTTTAGTTCACATCATTAGCAAGAAGCATTGGTAGGGAACCATTCAACCTTTTACACTTAGGGATAAAATGTTGTGCTGGGTACCAAAAGAGGATACAAAAAAGCCATCCTCCCCTCAAAATTTTTGAATAAAAAATTTTTAAAAAGACATTACAATATTTTATAAGATGTTTACAGGACAATATTTTATGGATTTTTGCAAAACACATTAATGGTAAGTTGATAATGTTAGAAGATACCTACAGTTTCCAGTTAGTGTCCCTTTAATGAAAACGTTTAAGAGCCTTAATGTATGTTCTAAAGTGGTTTTAGAGTTGCTTGCAAACTGGAAAAGCTTGCCTCAACTAATTTTGAGTGTGCATCTGAGGGAATACCAAATTTTAGCTAAGGTTACAAAGGTAAGTTTCTGCAAAATTTTAGCTATGCAGTTATATTAGTAACTGACACAAAACCCAATGTTAGTGAAACAGAAATAAGAAGTTCAGCTATTTCAATTTATCATGTAATGCCAGAAAAATGTGAAATGAACCTTTAACCTCAACCCCTTTTTTAAGTATGCCATCTTTTCTATGTTTAACTATGATCTTGAGGTGGTGTGTCTTAAACACCCAAGAGCTAGGATGAAAAGGAATGAATCTAGAGAATGGTAAACTCTTTTGCTATTTAATACCCATATTTCATAAAAACTCACTTGAAAATGAGACAATAGAAAACTGTAAGTTATTTTAGGATGTGGTCTACTCACTAGAGTAAAAGAATCCCACTTTGGACCAAATCCAAAAATGTTTTACAGGACGGGTTCCTGGAAGTGTGTTACATAAAATCAAGACATGGAATAAGTGTCTAATAATAAAGTTTTGTGCCAAATTTATGAGATGGACATTGAGAAATTTGGTTGGGGTTGTCTGGGAAGGAGAGGACACTTAGGCTCTTCCAGCATGACTGTTAGGGATCTGAGGACAATACCAGGTGGGGCAAAAGTAGGTTACAGTTGTTTGTATGGAATATAAAGCAATAATTAATAAATAATAAGAATAAGCTCTGTTTCGCATACTCACAAACTGTAAACTTATTTTTGCTCCACAGTGTATAAGCCATGCCATCTCAACAGTATGTTAGTGGCCTGTAAAGGGTGCCCTTTAGGTGGAGTCTGAGAGTTAGTTGTCAAAAGTGAGTCCAAGATTTTTCAAGTAATTTAACAGAGGCTGAAACCCAAAATCATGAATAAATATTGAATTTGGAAGTATATATGGAAACACTGGAACAGAAAAATATTAACAGCCAGTTTTTTTTCATGGTTATGTTAAGTAACATCTAAAAGAGTAAAACAAGTCAGTACTTAGAAATGTAACACCATGAAACCTATCAGAAATTCTATCTGAAAATGAGTTACTATAATGTGAATAAAATTTTTTGAAAAAAGTTTCAAATAAAGAATACAAGAAGAAAAGAAAATTATTGTCATTGACCTGTCCTGATAAGCTTCACACTGGATAACTAACATTATAGAACCTAGCCAGTGCTAGGTATCCAAATTTAAAACTGTTAAATATAGATATTCTTGGGGAAGGTTTTGGTTCACAGAGTACTTTAATACAACTGATTTTCATTTATTGATTCATATATTTGCCCTATTTTTCCTTTCCAACAATAAAATAACTGAATGTAGGGCTCCTAACCCCATTTAACAATGTCTAGCAAATTTACAAGATGTTTTCTTACCCACATAATACACGTTATTCACATAGAATAATAAATTCATTTTGTCAAATGGACTGATGAATTATTCATTGGTGGGCAAGGCAGTGCATGTAAGTCCTGTGTGTCTTTAAAATGCTTAACATTGTGTTTTGGATAGGTTTAAAACTTCTTCATGATATTCCATTAGCCACAACTTGAATCTTACTATCAAGTCTATTTTTTAAGACTATCGGCCAAGACATGTATTGTTTTTATCAAGCTAAAAGACTCTTAACTTTGAAAACGTATATTTTCATAATATGGTTATTGCACCAGATGCTTCAGGTGAAAGTAACCAAACTATGACCTCTCTCACCAGCAGGATCAAGTCCAGTGTTTTCACAACTGAATGATATTTACTCATAAGGTTAAAATGTGTGCGGGCTGTAAGAAATGAAGTTCAAGTTCTTTCTTTTTCTGTCTCTTTCTTTTATCTCCAATCTACAACCAGAGAAATCTGGCATGTAAATACCTACAGAAAGCGTCTCATTTAGAGATTATTTAATGAGCAAATTATACAGTTTAATTTAATTCAAATCATTTATTCTCAGCAAAATCAAACATATCATTGAGTTTACATAGAAATACAGTTTTCAACTGGATCTTCATAAAAATGCACTGGTGAAATAAATTTTCATAATGAATGACCAATTATGGACTATTTAACCATGCCAGTAGCAGAATTGATTACCATTAAAAATTGGTAAAGTAACATATCTTAAATGTGCAAATACCATCTTAAGTGTTCTATTGTGTTACCATTGATAATAAATGGCCACTAAATATATACCTATTACATAAAGCTTTTTAAAGTACAATAAAAATACAAATTCTATCTGTTAAAAAAAAGCCATTGATATGGCTTCTAAACATCCTCATTATACAAATTCCAAAATACTATACGACAAACAAAATTATAAAGACTTTTTTTATGAAACATATACTACCTTCTAATTAAGGTACAACTTAGCAGATACCAGAAAACAAATAAGAAGGCTTATATATATCATAGAACATGATGAAGATACATACAAATACAATATTGCATAAGCTATTTAATGTCTTTTTCTAGTGAAAATATATCTTTAGCACTAGAAGAAAACTTCCAAGACTAAAAGGGAAGAAAAATTTGTTTTTGAGATCTACCCCCGATCTCTCATTAAATTTATTTTTCTTCCAATGTAATGAACTAAATTATAAGTTTTAACCATAAAATTTTTGTTGTACTGAGTAAAAATATTATTCATGTTAAAGACTAAACTGAGCAGCAACTTGATTTTTGTGAAAAAATGACATTTTAACTTCAGCAACAATTAAATTTGCAAAATAACATTGATGATTCATGAAGAATAGTCATCATAGATTTTACAGCATCAAAACTAATGGGGCATCACAATATTTTGAGACAAAAATTTTTTGGTAAAGTAAATCCGAGTAACACACACTGCAACTAGAGACAGAATGCATCCCGATGCGTTTCAGAATGGACAAGATCCAATGATGTTTACCTGTTTGGTAATGTAACTTATCTCTTTAGATATGAAATTTTAAGTGTTTTGTAAATAACATATTTTCACTTCTTCCACAATATTTATGAAATAAATAAAATATTTAGAGTATAACTGATGATCATAACTAACATCATTACCCTGCATTTACTAATATTCTAAATACATTTGGTTTAATATAAGAATTTATATTTTTGTTATTTTACCTGCTAAAATGATCTGGTGGCATTGTATTCAAAGCTTACATTTTCCCAATGATATGAAACTACATTTCATACATAAAATGACATCTGTCTAATGAATGGTAACATATTTATTAGTTTGAATACCGTAGTAGGTTTGGAATTGGTACATCTCTTTAGGACACTGAAAAGTAGCATTAAGGTATGGCTTTTGGGAAATCAATAGTAGTCTAGCAGCCTGGTATATGAACACAAATTTCAAGATGTTAACTATTTAGAACTCAGACATACGACAGATATTTGGATAATTTGTTTTTGATTATAAATTCTTTTATAATAAAAACAGAAATGAACATAAAAGAATGCTTTACAGTGAGTTGTTTTTAAAATAAAATGTTACAGAACAACAGTAAATGTATGAGGAAATAAATTTCAGAAAATGAAGATATTAAAAAATATATTGGCACACATATAAGACCTGTTATAAAGTAATAACGAATGATATATATATATATATATGTAGATAAAATAAATTTAATATGAATCAGGAACTTGTTTCTTGACGTCAGCACCTGCTGTCTAACGGGTCGAGGCAGAATACTGTGCCTTCAAGAGTTAGTCCCATTTTGAACCCCTCCTGTAAAACAGAGTAAACTAATTAAAATATGAAATGCTCATGGCAAAAAAAAACCCAAAAATAAAAAAAAAAACAAACCACTCAGTAAATCAAAGAGACCATGAACAGAAGTGGATTTCTTCATGCTTTGATCAATTAAGAGACAATTAAAAGTCAAATGTTGGCTTTTCAAATTTTTATATTGGTGTGTACTCTAGTTAGATCTTTATAACCATTAGGATTTTAAAAATATTAAACATATGTAAAGTTAACATGCATGAGAGACAGGAAAAAAAAACCCTGAAATATATGGAATTAAACAGTTTTAAATTGTAAACATATTTTTTGGTTAAATCTTTGTCAATCTTATATTCCTCTGTGTTGGCTCTAAAGATTGATATTTACTTGAAAATAAATAGTATTAAGTATAAGTAAGATAGTTAAACTTCAAATTGATGAACGGTTCAAGATAGTTTTCACCCTTTCTTTTTGGTTACCATTGTTTGGCTCCTGATAAAATACATTTAGTAAATGCAATGTCACATCCTAGGTGGAACACGGGAAGGACTGCAGAGCACTTTGCCACCAGAAAGCTTCCTTTACTAGGCCTGCGGTTGCTTCCAGTTGCAAGGTGTTGCTTTGAACCCACTCCACCTAGGATCTTTTGGGTGTTTTTGGAAATCAAGTTGCCTTTGATAGAGTTACAGCAAATATACAATTGCTGTGTAAGGTTATTTTTGTTTTGTTTTATTCTTTAGAGTTTGAGTTACAAGTTAATGGCCAAAAAAACTTTTTTGAAAGTTTTCTTTTTCTATCCAAAGTTTCTTCTTTATTTTACGTAAGATAACTGAAGTATAAGCTATCTCCATCCTCACATTTGTCTGTAAATCCTTCCTCACTGACCTACAAAAAGATGAAAAGCAGACTCAGGCAGATCAGTGAAATTGGAGACCACATTTTCTCTCTCTCTTTTCATATATATGTGTATACATTTACATATACAAATCATATATGTACAAAAAATTTATTATATTTCTAACTTTCTTACAGAACTGAAATTTTGTTCACTGAGATCGTCTTTAGTTTGGGGTAGCCATATGACACTCTTTTTGCAAATGAAATGTAAACAGCAGTCTATTCCTTATCAAAAAACAAACAACAAAAACAACAACAAATAACTCTCAAAAATAAGGCTTGTCCCCTGTTCTGCTTTGTGTTTTGTTTAATTAGATTTTATCTACTTGTGTGTTAACCAACTGTGTATCTCTTTGCATTTCCCAAAGTTACATTCATTTAGAACAGGTATCTAAATGTACTTATGTTATTACAAATTCAATGTAAACATGGCAATGTAGTAGAGGAAGAAGGTTGTTATAAAACTGCAAGCCACGCCTTATCCTCTAGTAATCTTCAGCGTGCTCATTATATCTTTAGCACAGACAATACAGAGTAATGCCGTCACTGTTGTTTTTCAAAATTTATTCTCAGTACTTAGAATACAAATTAAATTTAGTTAAGCAAAAGTTAGATTACTTAGCATAATTTTTTTCAAAGCTCGTTCTTATCACAACAATATTTTGCTATATAATAGACAGATAGATAGATAGATGGGCAGACAGAGAGCCAGGATATATATTACCTTTGGAAAGGTTTGATACCATACAGTGTTTTTAAAATTTTGCCATTACATTCTGAATTAAACCAGTATCAAATCAACTACCCTGAAAATGCTATTTATCAATGTGTTATCAGTATATGGAAGGTTGAATTGCAATCAATTAAATAGAGATCAATTGTTATTTCAATAATAATAAAAAAAAATTATCACTTAAAAGATGATCTCCATGGTGACTTTATAAGGATCCTTTCAAACTTCCCTAGATTATTTAATAATCCCAATGAACAGATACACTGTTGTATGGCTCTTTGTTTTCTTATTCTACAATAAAATTTCTCACATATTACCTAACGTTCCCACTTAGGTCTCGTTTTGTAACTCATAGTTTGACAGACTCAATCTGTCTAGGATTTGCACATCTGCTGGAATTTTTAACTTTGGAATAAAAATGAGGCTTTATTTAATTTATGTAGTGATGAAAATTATCATAAAGTTAACACCACACAAAAATAATTTTATTATTAATATTTTACATGTTTTCTGTATAAAATATTTTTCCCAATTGCATTTTGTTTATTTGAAAGAGGGAGAAATGCACATTAGAGAAGGAAAAACCACTACTATGCAAAAATTGTGAACGTGTTGAGAGAGGTCCTTTGAGTCCCCTTTCTTTCCATCTATAGATTTTTTTTTAAAAACAATTTTGATAAAAATGTAGAAAACTACATTACATATAACTTTCTCTTAATGCATTATGTACATTATATAGAATTTTCTATATCTTTTAATCATAGCAAAACGACCTTTCTATTATTATTTTGAATCCACATTAAACTAACTTAATGACTATATAGCATTCTATTAATTCTTAACATGATTTGTCTCCAGTATTTTACAGTTACTCATAAGGCTGATCAGATTTTTTCACATTTTTCACAGTTATAATTATTTCTTCCTCGGAATATATTGTATTAATTTTTGATGAAAAATACAAATACAACTATTAATAACAAATTATCCCCCAAAGGACTGCAATGAACTGACTACCCAGAAATGATTTAGAGTGCTTGTTTCATCACACTTTCACTAGTGCTGTTTTTAGTAAGAAAATACTATTTATAATTTGATAGATCAACACATTTATAATTCTTCACTTAATTTGTATTTTTTTTCTGATTTTACTAAATATTCTATATATGTATATTAGCCACCTGTGGTTTTCTTTTGTAAAAATTTGTTGATTGTTCAGTTTCTTAACCATTTGTCTACTCACTTTAATTATGTATATGTGATAGTTATATTTTAAAGGGAAAATTTTAAAAACTATACCAGTTCTTCTGTAGAAGACTATATGTTCATATAAAATATGCTCTTATAAAAATTTCTCACCAAATAAAAAGTCTGATCAATATTTACTTACATTTCAAACATTTTAAACTGCCTAATGCTTATGAAATTTATTTGAGTATCTGCTGTTTCTGCTGTACATTGATCCTTCAGAATTATTAACCAGTTGACTTAACACCACTTAATGCACAATTCTTTCACCATTCATTGCCTTGCCATGCTTTTTTCTTTAGTGTATTGTTATTATATCTTACAAGGTATATTTCTGGGCTATCAATACCATTATACTGATTTTCCTGTTGGTGACATGTACCGAGAAGTTTAAATTCAATGAAAAAACTAAATTATTGATTTCAAATAAATATTTAATTTTCTAACAATTTAAAGTGAAACATGCCTTAACATTTCTGATTAAATTGGAAATGTATAAGGTGTTTCTATGATTTCCTTGGTAAATGAACAAAGAAAACCAAATACTTCAGTAGGTTTATTAACTCAACATAAAGGTTTACATAACCCATTATACTGCATAAATTTTTTACATATATGCAAAGATAAAAATAGTAGATAAAGGTGTGCATTAGGTTAATTAGGTTTACAAGATTAATGAAAAAAGTCATATAAACTTTAGATAGAAATATTATTTTACTTTAGTTAAAGTCACCTTGCAAGTAAATCCTGGGCTCAAAGAAAGAGACAAGCAATTTGGTGGACAATGTATTAGTGACTAAGTCACTGAAAAGAAATACTTTAAAATACAGGCTATAAGACCTCTTTAAACACAACTAATAATCATACATATCTATATGGAATAGCTATTTGAATATTTATTAAATAAAGCATGCAAATAATAGGTTTTAGCTTTAAAAATTTGTAAGTTGTTTAAAATTATTATGAAAATAATATACCAACCATCTCTGGCGCTACCCACCATGAAAGCAGAAAAGAATAAAAAGGACATTAAGAAAATATTAGAAATGGCAAAAACTAAAATAAAAGAAAAAATACCACAGATTAACATTATTTGACTAACACAATATGAAATCATTCCAACAGTGTTTCTCAGAATGGGTTCTTAGAAAAAGCTAAAGTTGTAGGCTTATCTTAAAAAAATTTATAGAAGATGTTTCAATTTTTTGAAAATCTACAAAACATTAATAGAAAAGTACTGTTTATGGTTTAAATGAAACTTGAGAACAAATACTACCACATCAGTGCCCATATCTGTATTTGTCCTTAGAATAGCATTAGGCCCAAGTACTACAAGCCTAATCTGTAAAACTAATAAAAAAGGAAAGCAATTAATTTCATATGGAAGGAATAAAGCACCCTTGATAAATTTTTATGCACTGTTTAAGTGAAAGTTCCATAGTATTTGAAATATAACAAAGAGGTGGGGAAACTGCGTATTCATTAATATACGCTGAAATCAACAGAAGTCTGATATTGGTCACTTTAGTTTCAGCCAAATAACATCATCTAGGAAAATGACATTATACCTAGAAAATAAGATTGCTTCATCGGTACAGTCTAAAATAAACAGATCGGTATTTATATTATCTTTCTAGAAAGGAGTGATAGAAGTTTTAGAAGATCAGAATACAACCACTAATTTTTTTTTCCCCTGGGAAATGAAAGAGAGTGTTAATAAATAAAAATGACTTCTCTTTTCTGTCTCTTCACCAGCTTCAGCTTCATATAACTTGCTTCTGTCTACATTCAAAAATTACACACACACACACACACACACACACACATGCACACATACATTTGATAAAAACCAGCATATAATAACTTCACCAAAATATAAAGTGAAAATATAAACAGAAGACTTCAGTGTTTATTAAGAACATTTACACATTTACTAATCATGGACCATTCTATAGAGCTCTTAAAACCAGTATCTTCAAACTTCCAAAACAATTAAGAAGTGAAAAATAGCCCTGGCTGGTATAGCTCAGTGGACTGAGTGCTGGACTGAGAACAAAGGGTTACTGGTTCAATTCCCAGCCAGGGCACATGTCTGGGTTGTGGGCCAGTTCTCCAGCAGGGAGTGTGTGAGAGACAACCACACATTGATGTTTTTCTCCCCCTCTTTCTCCTTCTCTTCCCCATTCTCTAAAAATAAATAGATAAAAATTTTTAAAAAAAGAATTGAAAAATAAAAGGGAGAGAAAGAACAAAAGCCCAACTGAACTACATTCCTAAAAAACTTGTCACTGGGTGTCTGCTTTTTTTAATAAAATTCCCAAAGTGATGAAATACAGCTACAATGCTTCCTTCTTTTAAGGGATACTGATTCTAGTCTTACAAAGATTTTCCTACATCTATCCATTCACAATTTTGAAATTCATAGTTGTTAAAACTGAAATTGAATTTTAGTCTAATGACCTTTTATTTCTTGATTTCAAAATAATAAATCAATAGAATTCATGTAATTTTGTATAAAAACATGAACCATCTTATTACTATTGTAAAGTGTACCATTAAGAACAAAATAAAAGCTTATCTTTAACAGCTATAGGAATATTTTTAGGACTAAATGCATATTATTATTTTAAAGTAATTATTTTAAGTAAGTTTTTATACTGATAATAATTTAAAAAAAGGATAGTTTTGGTATATAGCATCTCATATTAAAAAGAACAAACATTTATGGGTCAATCTGTTAAATAGTCACCTGCATTTCATCTAATTTTGATTGAATATCTGGAGGGAAATCCCCTGCTCCACAATTAAATGGGTCAAAAGGTTCTGCTCCAAACAGGTCCCGTTCTAGAGGAAAATAATTTACTATATGAGTGACAAAAAAGTGAGCTGGGATATGTTATATTTAAAAGGCAGAATTATATAAACAAATACTTACGTGACCAAATGAGCCACTATCCACAGTTACACTTTATGCTGGGCTTTCCTGAACTTAAGACTAGTTAAATGCCAACAAGTAAGCAAAGATTCAGTTTATGATGATATTAAAAAGCTAGTTACAAAAAATTATTATCCAGAGATGTTTCTGCATCTTTAATTAAGGCTTCTGAACACCAAATTCACCAAATATTTGATAATTAATATATTACAATACTTACATTTTACTGAAGCAATTTAAATGTACTAAAATGAATAGGCTACTCATTGGGACTCCCCTATTTCATTTACTGATGACTTTGCCAACACGGAAGTGAAGCAATATGTAGGACTGACTAGATTAGTAGGTAGCTTTATTCATAGTTCACATACTTTCATCTCAGAAAGAAATTTAAGGTGCATCATCTCATGTCGTGTAATATTATTTCATCTTCATAAATAACCACCACTTTGAAATGACTGTAATCCCAGAAACAAATTTCTTTTTTAAAACAGCAGTAATGGAGTACCAAAAAACTCTCTGTACATATAGAGCATGTATTTTTTTTATCACAAAAAAAGTATCCAAGTTAAAATCAATGGCAGTGATTGATAAGGCTATGTCCTGTTATGTAACTGAAAAAGTTTTAAAAACGGTTGAGAAATTTCTTTCCTCTGAATTAATTCAAATAAATCCCTAACTGACTAAAAAAGAATTTCAAATTATATATGGGTATGGGAATTTATAATGTAATAAGACTTTCATTTTTCAGGAAACTATAACTATATTCTCTAAATTCAATGCTATGAAAGAAATAATATTTATGCTGCTTGAGTTCTGTCATAGCCTCTATATCACTCTTTCACTCCCATTATACTTGCTTCTTCAGTTATAACATTTTGGGGCATCAGATTCATATATTACATAATCTAACGTAAATGCTTAGAAGTTCCCACTTCTTCTGGGAATTGTATAAATAACAGGAGCATATTTTTATCATGCAAAAAGACACTTTTAAGAGTGAAAGGAGCACTACCAATAGTTATGCCAGAACAAAAGAAATAAGCCAGGACTGCCTAAACAAATGGGAATTTGTTGCCACCTTATATATAACTTATCAGTATTACTGTTTTTTATCATGTATTTCCTCAGTTTGATGTTGCTCAGGACAATAAACCAGAACTTAGAGAACAGAGGAATTTTTCTTTAGAGGAGTATCCTGGTTACCATCAATGCACAAAGCACACTGAACAATGCTTTACATATGGTAGATATTGGTCAAAAAATGAATTAATAAGGAGAAGAAACTGCTGATTAGAGAATAGAGATTTTCATTACGTAGGTTTACTGAAGTTGGCGCTCAAAATTATCAAAGATTTCAGATGGGCTTAAAGGGATCTTTGACATTCCTGAAATGCAATATAAATTTTGTGTAAGTGGGCATGTTGTGCTTTTCTATAAAGAGGCTTCATAACTTGTACCATACTCTCAAAGGTTCATGACTCCCCCACCACGTAAGAAGCTACTACATTTACGTATTAATACATCGATAACATGTAAATTAATAAACATTACAGAGCTCCATGGCATATTTTGGTCAGCTCAGATCAATCTAAAATTTATAATATTACATAAGTCAATTTCTAATGAAAGAGGTGTGTTATGTAATTAATAACATTAAAATTATTTAAGTCTAATATAAGAGTAAAAGAATAAAAACTAGAAGGCAATACTTCACTCAGTCATTCTTTATTCACTAAATATTTATTGGACACATATTATATGCCATGTGCTTTGCTAGGTAATTTTTGCTAGAATTAAAGTGGTAAAAAGGGACCAACTTCTTTCCTCATAGGATTTAGAGTCAATCAGGAAACATAGCATTAAATTAAATTAAATGCTATACATATGCAAAGATCAAAAATATATTCAGAGAACTAGTAGGGTTTCTCATGTGGTAAAGAGAGAAACTAAGGCAAAATCTTATAGGTTTCTGCTTTTATGTATTTAGTAGATAATGAAAAAGAAATGAACGAACACATTTAAGATTTCTTTTAAAAGAATAAGTTCTATTACCAAAAGCTTACTGATTTGGAGTTTTAGACAGTTTTACAATTAAAATCAAGTTAAACAATTCATCCTGAAATTGTCAGTATAGATGGTATGGGGTAACCAGGACTATCTATCTATCTAGTTTTTCTATCTATTGACATATTGTTAAAGTTCTTAAACTTTGGCATTCAGGAAAGATCGACATTTAAAAATGCAGCAAAGTGTTACCTTCAATTTCTTCTTGATAAATCTCATAAAACCACTTGACCATTTCAAACTCACTGATGCCTAAAACAGATCTCATTATTTACATCTTCTCTGCCTCCAGTTTCCCCCATTAAAAACATTTGGTCTAAAACCCTAAACCATAATTGATTTTGAAATCTCAGTCACCATCCTGATAGATTATTCCTTATAAATGTATTAAAATCTCTTTACTCCTTTCAATTTGTATTTTGACTTGGATTAAAATCCTCCCTCATGGATATGTTGCTAATTTATATTTCAAATTCCAGTATGTAACCCAAGTCTAGTGTATATGCTAAACAAATGTCCACTGAATTAAATAAATGAATGAGTAAATTCATGATGAAGTCCAAGTAAGTAAAAACATCAGTAAAGGAAGATTTGTGGAACACTTTAAGGACAAAAAGTATCTCATTACAATTACAAGATATTGGCAATATCTCAAAACACTATGACGTATGTATTATAGAGTAACCTTGCATTGGAACAAAATATATTTATATATACATTTCAACTTACATAAAGTATTCAATATTTCCATAATCTGATTTTTAAAGTTCCGAATTTATTACTTTATATCTACAAATTAGTTCTCTAAAATTTAATGAATGCCTAACATGTGCAAAATACTTTAAGTTCCACAGGGTTAAAACAATACAACTATAGGTTCTGACATGCTTTAAAGCCTTAGGCTAAAACTTCAGAGTTATAGTGAAAATGTCTTAATGTGAACCAGAGAGGACGTAACAAAGCACATTATGTAAAGTTCTCTTTCCTTCAGTTTCCCCTTGGACATCATGAGAGATCATGGCCACTGGGAACCACTCTTTCAGCTTCCGTGACAGGATGCACATCAACACAGAGACAAGGTATTGACAATGAGCATCTGTTGGATGCTTTCTAATTTATCAAAAAGAGACCTTTATGTTCCTTCTAGATATACAGAAGGTAAATCAGAAAATTAATGCACTTGTAACATTTTAGATATCAAAGAAGGAACGCTCTTACCTAGGGTTAAGAAACAAATCATGGAATTCATAGATTTGTGTATTTCCTCAACTCAGAATTATCCACACATTCAATGATAACCAAAAATTGAGAATGAGCTCTATTAAATATGTGAAAAATCACTAGATTTGCTTTTAATAATTAAAACATTAAAACATAACCCCAAACCCAATAAAAATATAATTAAGTGCTTTGCATTATAATGCAAATAACCCTACCCCAAAATATCATTTTTTATAAAATAATTTTAAAGGCATAGTATGTATGCCTTCAATAGGATACCCTGAATTAAAAAGTAAAATATAATTAACTGAATGTGGCACATATATATAAACATAATACTTTGGTAATTAAAATTTTTGGTGAACTTGTTAGGATATATAATTTCATGTAAAGTATTAATTAACCACTTAAAATGTACACAAATGAAGTAAAAGTATTAATTTGTTTAGAAAACTTACTAATCTCGGTAGATCTACTAGGTACAGGAGGCGGCTGTGTGCCATTGGGAGTAGGTATTGATGACTGGTGTGATATTGGAGAAAATGGAATCATATCAAAGATGTCCGTGGAGGGTGACTTAGGTGTCGCACTGCCTGCCTGCAATGAAAACAATATGAATTAGGATAGTATTTCATGTAGACACCTTATAATGCTAAATATTTCATATGCATATAAAATATATGTAAAAAACAACAAATTCCATTGAATAAAAAATAGTTAAATATTAGCTGTCTCATATAGTTCAACCAGTTATGCTAAATACTGACTTGCAAGAAAGCAAACAGGAATTTCTGTAAAAATGGTTTCAAAGATGATGGCAAACATAGTGACAATGCCATTCTTGACAGATATAAAAGAAATAATTGCCACTTGCATGAGAACTGAAAATGTTAGAAATTATATAAAACATGATTTCAGTAATTTATTTTGCTTAAGATCATGTTTAAACAGAAATAATTAAACATAAGTGATGTATCTTAAATATAACCATACAAATTCAATTGAGAATATGTTTAACAAATTTTAAAAGGAGTATTTTCACTTGTATTTATAACTACAAATGACAGCCAACTATTAAATTTGCTGCAGTGCCTTTTATCCTGAATAAGATTTCATCAAGTTTTCTATAATAGATACCTACACTGTGAAATAAATTAATAATCACTAAATATACCACCAAAATAATTGTTGTCTGGGCCAGGACATAATGTAAGAATGACACAGTCATTACTTCAATTGTCATTTGTGGAAAAAAATACACAAACACACACAATCCATAAAATAAAAAAAATGATAAAAATAAAGAATTCTTATTGTGGAGAGAGATAGTGAGGAAAAATTTGATTTTTCTATAAGAGCATGGACAAAGATTATTTAGAGTGGTTCATATTAAAATTAGAGTTCTAAAAATATATTTATTTTTCTGATTCACAGATGATGAAAGCAATGAAGAAAAATAAAGCTGCTTATGTGTAGAAAGGGACAGATTTGCCATTAACAAGATTGTTAGTACACAATTTCACTCAGGAAAATTGCTGTCATCTCCCTTTCTTCAACAACCTGTTTACTTTAACATAAATACTGCCTATCCAAAGACTTCCAGGCAACTTTATACCTCAGCACTTCTATTTGGGAATATTATTGTCCTAATCATTTCATCCCTCTATTTCCACTCTCTTCCTCATCTCTCATCTTTTTAAGAATATAAAGACACTAAAATCTCAACTGTAATTAAAAACAAAACCAAAAATGTTTTCACTCTGCTCCCTCTTTATTCCTCTAGCCTCTCATCTCTCTGTCTCTTCCCTCCAAGGCTAAGTAAGCTCCTTGAAAAAGATACTACATTTCCTGTCCTAACTTTTATTTCATTCAGTCCTCAACTCATATGAACCTAGACTTCACTCTTTATGTACTGAGTCTACTGCAACTGCTTTTACCAATATCACCAATAACCTACTTTCTCAAGATGAAATTCTCTGATATCACAACCAAAGGAAGCAAAAATGGCATACAAAGGCCCCAGATCACATCCCATTTTTCAAGATGTAGCTGTATATTAACTACTATCTAAATAGCACATTATAGCAAAATTAAGGAAAATAGGTGGGATAATAAAAATAATTTTCTGTTTAGAAAATTACATGAGGTCTTGGAATGCTGCGCTCAACGATAGGCTTGGGAAGGCCACATTTAGAAGGTGGTGGTATTAAGAGTCCCAATGATAGTCTGGAATCACTTGAGTTGACAGGAGTGACAGTAATGGAAGAAATATTTAGACAGGGGGACGAGTCCTCACTACTACGCCAGAAAGAGGATGAGCATCTCTGAAACTCGTGTTGCTCATGATCAGACACTTTGTGCAGCAGCTGTGAAAAAAGGACAGAGAAATAAACTGAGGAGAAGAAAGGAGAGATAGAGGAAACAGAAAAAAGTATACATGAAAATTTGTTTGTAAAATGATATTTTAGGGAAAGGCTTAAGGAATTTGAAAATAACTTTTCTAAAAATAAAAGTTTTAATAGAGTTTAGTAGAGTGGACTTTCTTATTGTGACAGTCCTTGGATTCTGGATTGGTTAAGTTGACCATTTTTACTGAAATATTACATTTTTAGATATTTAAATAAAATATTGCATTTATTAGAACTTGAGAGGAAGGCAATGGAGAGGAAACCGAGGAAAGCTTAAAGATTTATTTTGGAGAGAGCCTCTGTATAATGAGATGAAACAATGAAGGAAAGTAATAGAAAAAAACAGTCACTGAAGTAGAAGTCTAGTAAAAAGTTGAGACTTTGTAGGAATTTCAAAAGGGTTATAACAATCATTTTATACTTACTCCACAAAAAGTTATTTGGAAATATTAGCATTAGTAACGTTATGTCCTTATTATAATAAAGATATGGGAATTAAGGTCCCTAGATTTTTTGTGAGTTATTCCTATATGAAGTAAAAAGCAGGGCCAAACTTCAAAACAACTGACTCCAAGCATCATGCGCTCTCTCTAGGTAGTGAGTTTCAAATGGTAAGACCTTTCCGGGATGGGCAGAAGGAGTTTATAAGCATCCTGAATAAATCAGAGATAATAAATAAGACAATATGCAAGCAGAACACTTCATTGGGTGTGAACATCAGTCTTTGGATGACTTTTAGACAGTATTTCCATTACGGCATATTGAAAAGTTACTGTCAAGAGCTGAGCTAGATTGACCAGATGTCAATTTAAACAAGTCAATTTGCATTTCTCTGATGATTAGTGATGTTGAGCATCTTTTCATATGCCTATTAGCCATCTGTATGTGCTTTTTAGAAAAGTATCTATTCAGGTCCTTTGCCCATTTTTAATTGGATTGTTTTTAATTGGATTTATTTTTTGGTGTTGAGTTTTGTAAGTTCTTTATAAATTTTGGATATTAACCCCTTATCAGATGTATTGGTGAATACGTTCTCCCACTTTTGTGGGTTGTCTTTTTATTTTGTCGATGGTTTCTAATCATCAAAGAAATGCAAATTAAAGCCACGATGAGATACCACCTCATACCAGTCAGAATGGCTATCATCAACAATCCAACAAAGTGCTGGTAAGGATGTGGAGAAAGGGGGACCCTTTTGCATTTTGCACTGTTGGCAGGAATGCAGACTGGTATAGCCACTGTAGAAAGCAGTATGGAGAGACCTCAAAAAATTAAAAATGGAACTGTTTTTTGACCTAGTGATCCCACTTCTGGGAACATATCCTAGGGAACTCAAAATGCTAATTCAAAAGAACATAAGCATCTCTATGTTCATTGCAGTGTTATTTACAATCATCAAGATTTGGAAGCAGCCCAAGTGTCCATCAGTAGATGAGCAGATAAAAGAACTATGGGACATTTACACAATGGAATACTGCTCAGTCTTAAAAGAAAAGAAAATTTTACCCTTTGCAACAGCACAAATAGACCCAGAGAACATTATGCTAAGTGAGATAAGCCAGTCAGAGGACAAATACCATATGATTTCACTCATATGTGGAATCTCATGAACAAACTGAACTAACAAACAAAACAGAAGCAGACTCACAGATAGAAAGCAAGCTGATAGCTATTGGGGGTTGGGGGGAGGTTTGGGGGTAGAGGCATTGAGAAAAAAGGAAAAAGGATTCATGGACATGGACAAGTGTATTGATTACACGGGTGAGGGGGGTATAAGAGGGATAAATGGTAATGGAAAAATACAATAATGAAAAAAATAAACAAGTCAAAATGAAAGGACTTATTAGGGTTTTACGTACTTACTATGATAGCATAAACAAAAAACCAGAAAGAAGGTGCTGGTTCCATCAATATCCAATTTTTCCCCAGGGAATGGCACTGGGCAAAGGTCAGAAGTATTGGTGCAGAAATCGGGTATTGTCTCTCCACTCAGGGAGTCCAGAACAAAAATTTCTGCTGTTTTTTTGTAAGGGGTGGGGGCAAGCAGGCCAGGGGGTCGGAAGGGGAAAGGGCAAGGAGTAGAAAAGTACCACAAAAATCATACTAGAGAAAAGTGTCCTTAAGGCCTCCAGATAGGGTGGTCTCAGCAGAGGCACCTAAGGGGAGACTTTGGCTAGAGCCTCCAAAAAAGGAGGCCACTGCAAGGAGGTGCCTGGGCTGGGCCTGCCTCTATATCGAAGAGCATGGCTGCCCTGGGGGTGGAAGGGTTTCAGTCCTCCTCTACACTTTGTGCTAAATCTGGTGTGGGGGCAGGGGGCAGCTTCCCTTCCCTCCCCCGACAAAGCTTGCCAGGTGCAGCCTTTGTAATTGCTTGTGATAAGGCCTGAAAAAAATTACACATAGGATTTGGCCTGGAGCCAGATTCCTCAACTACAAATCACACTAGAGATGTTTTTCAACACTAACAGGACTTTGAGGCAGCCAACACGAATCTGGCTTTTGATAAACCTTATTGTGTGAGGTTGTAACAAAATTTATAATTAGAAAGATCAGTAAGTTTGAAGGAAATCTTTAAGGTGGGAACGACCTCTTCACACATTTCTAGAAGCATATAGAGAAAGAAGACAGTGTAAAGTTGAGATTCAAGTTGAGGGAAAGTTTAAGTTGGGAAGCAAATCTCTGATAGTCTGACTTACATAACCTATCACTCTATTAATATGCATAAACAGTTATATACCCATTGTTTTCCCTATTGATCTCCATGGTGATCTACCTATTAATCTACAGATATGTATACATGCTCGTATGTATCTATATAATTTTAGGTCTATTTTATAGTCTACATAATTTAATGTATAATTTTGATTGGTGGCCACTTTTTAATTATAGGTGACAACTGTAAGCTCCTTGTCAACAAAATATTGTTTTTCTAAAATGCTCTGTATAACATATTGGAGTACTATATATACAATGAATATTTATTGTTTAACTTATACTAGAGCAATTTTTTAACTTAAACTATAAATTGATAAGGATGTCTGCACTGAGCAAAACATAGTAAGATATTAAGAAGATGTCTTTGGTATGGCTTCTATATCATAAATGACAGCATTCTATGTTGTTTTATGACTTGTATTGGCCAAAATACCTTTACCAGGTACCTCTCAAAAAACTGAAGACCAATATAACCTAACTTAGAAGTGCTCTAGTACTTTATCATAGCACTAATATTATGCATCTAATGCCCCTGATAAAATACACTTACACAAATGAAGAATCTATATGATATGATAATAACCAAGTATTTAAATACCCCAATTAAGAGGTATTTTTATTTTCAAAATGGTAAAGCAGGAATATCTATCAATAGATTTTAATATCTAAAGTTTAGGACTCTAACATTGTCTAACTATCACAGATTTCCTCTGAGTCATCAGTAAAATAGATGTGGTCAACAGGCATTTTTTTCTTTGGGCCACACAGGTCTCTTTTAATATTAACTCAGTTGCTTGCATGTAAACATTTAGAGACTGCACATTAAAATCCAGAGGTTTTCTTGTGAAGTTAGACAATTTGGAAAGCAGGTTCACAAACTTCCATAAAAATAATTGATTTGCATTAAGTATCTGCTGTGCCTTTCAAGTGAAGTGTATGCTCCCCAAATAAACACTATTAACACATGCTTATTCCATACATTTATGTCCTAGCATGGGCTCTGCTGACATCTGAGTTTGTGATTCCTAACTTAGAAGCGATTAGAGTTAAGGAATTAGATGTCATATCTAATTCCTTAAAAGAATGAAATCTAAGCCAAGTAATATGTATAAAGACATATTTCAGTAGTTTTGATCCTGTACCTAACTATTAGGCCTATTAAATGAGAATAAGAACATTTCAGTATAGCACCTAAATGGCACACAAGGCAATTTTGGCCCAAATGTTTTGGCCCTAGATAGGTGCCTCTAACTTTAAGGAGTCAGGAATTAGTCATTTTTTGAGCTTCCATTTGAGCAGTCAAGGATATTATATTTTTCTAAGAAATTAGTTTAGATGAAGCAGTCTGCTATTTTTATTTTGGAATTTCTGTCAATATTTTGACAGTTGGCTAGAAACCAAAATTTTTGCACTTTCCACAGAAGTTCATGGCACTACTGATTAATCCCTTATGCCATAATTCCAAGTGTTTTGGTATTTAGGAAGATGCACGGGATCTGAATTATTGTACTTTTGGAATGAGGAATTCTATGCTCAAACATTACTGTTAATTGTGCAGAAATTTTATTAAGCCATTAGTAATATGAGCCAGTATTGAGATTTGTTCCTGTAGCTTTGCAGCTCTTTCTTTCAGTAGGTAGTGGCTTAGTATATTTAGGCAATGGTGACTATTTCAACTTTGAGCTCTGACTAAATAATATGTTTTAAGGTTTGAATTCTATTAGTAAGTATTGTATACATTTAAACAAAAATACTGAATTAAGTATTTCTGTGGTAGTATCTATAGAAATATTAGAATAATACCAAAATTATTTTTATCCTGCTATTTTGGTGATATAAACCTTCAGAGACCCTTTTAAAAATGTAAAACAACTTCAAGTTTAAAATATGATTTATCAAAATTATTAAAATAGTAGAGGTACAAAATTCTTATAATGAAATTTAAAAAGTAGTTATATTTATATTTTAATATAGATGTCCAAATTAAAATTTCTACTTAAAAAACTGGTAGATAATAAATAACACTAAAGGTGGGAAATATAACTGTAATATAAAAAGGTTCTAGTAATACTTTCTATATTGCCATGCTGGTTCATACTTTTAAATTCCACTATATGGCACATTGTCAACATCATGTGGGGGAATGGGTGAAGAGGTGAGGGGGTTAAGAAAATACAAATAGGCAGCTACAGAATAGCCATGGGGATGTAAAGTACAGTATAGGAAATCGAGTAGCCAAAGAA